GTTTGGTTAAATCAATTTATTTTGAGCCCGTAAATCTATAGTACTTCTATGTTTCCGGAAACCCTGTATTTTTACTCGATTTAGAAGTATTTCTCAAAAATATAACTCACTATAACTTTGATAAGTCACTCATTTATGATATACCCTATATATTTTTGAAACAGAGCTTTCATTGCCCTCTAAAACTTTTATTCTAGACATTTTTTTCTGTCTCAAATAGGAAAAAAGCTAACGTCTACCCACGCATCGTTGTTACACCCTATATACAGGATGTCTTAAATAGAATGGACTACCTTGTGATACCTCGTTGAATAGGTAATTTCATTAGAAATTCATCTACGCAATTTTCAGACCTATCTTTTTTTACAACAGTTCTATATTCCAAGATACTCAGGGTAGGACACCTTTTAAAAAACCACCCTGTCAGTTTGTTTAATAAAATAATAAACATTGCTCCAGTAATACAATGAGAATTTGATTATATTATTTAAGGAATTTTGATAAAATTACTTTTACTTTTAACACGTCAAGGGCCATGAATAGCCCCAAGGGTATCAACAATAACAAATAAAAGGCTTTGATTACTTGTTATTTTTATTATAACACTCAATGTGTTAAATTAAAAAGAAAATGATAAAAAATCACTTTCATTACAATGGTCGTTGATAAAAAACTTTGTTTTGATATCCAATAACTTTTAAAATTTCATAATATAACAGAACGTTTCAACGATTCGAAAGTTAATCTAGAATTTCCAGAGCACTGCTTCTTATTCTGTTGGAAAATATTTTCATTCAACAATTTTTTCACTAAATTAAATTGGTAATTTCTATATACTCAGGAAGATAAATAAATAAACTGTACTTTGCCGAAGAATCGGGGAAACCAATCTATTTACATTTAATTACGTACAAGTTAGTGGCATGCTTTGAAATAAAAATAATATCTAATAAAAGATTGTTTATACATAGGTACATATAAAAAATGGAGAATAGTGAGTTAACTAATTGAATTTGAAAAATTAACAATAGATAAATTGTCTTTTTGAATTTTTATTCCAGAAAGAAAAGCTTAATAATTTTAAAGAATAACATTAAAAACTCATTAGCAGTATTTTTGAACGTATCACTAGTTACAAACAACATATTTTGGAGAAGTTGAGCATAATTTGTAGACTACCAAAAGCCCACAAGTCTTAAATAATACCATTCACAAAGATTTATAGCTCTGTTGATTGGTAAGAAGTTCTTACAACAATAACATGTACTAGATGCATATCGATGTTTTCATAATAGATAAATAATTTCAGCTTCTGTCTGCCACATAACCACAAAGTTTAGTTCCAATTACTGGTGAAATCTTACTTAGAAATGGTATTGTCATGCTGACATATCTTAAATCAAACCCACATTAAAACATGTTTCTGCGTGCCTTAAAATTGCAAGTGTAATAATGTTACTCAAATGAGTTAAAACCACGGGAAGATCTAGCCTTAAAGATCTGTTTTTGACTTGCCAATTGTGTCAAAACTGTTACTACTTAAGAGATTAAGACATCTAATTAAAATTTTGAAAGAGTAAAACCAAATTTGGTAGATTTTCACACTTTTATTTTAAAAATAAAAATTTTTAAACAAACACTAACATGACATATGTTTCGAAGTACAACTTCTTTTTCAAATGTGACTATTTACAATTCGGTATCCAATATATATACAAAATAATTTAACAAAACAAAGTTGTATATATATTGGATACCGAATTGTAAATAGTCACATTTGAAAAAGAAGTTGTACTTCGAAACATATGTCATGTTAGTGTTTGTTTAAAAATTTTTATTTAAAAAAAAAAAAAAAAAAAAAAAAATTTTTATTTTTAAAATAAAAGTGTGAAAATCTACCAAATTTGGTTTTACTCTTTCAAAATTAAATGGATTTTCATCAAGTAAAGGCCGAAACAATAAATAATCTAATTAAAAATACAAGAAATGGTAAAATGAGTTTCATTAAAGAAACGTACGAGACGCTACAGATGCTCTGCACTATTTTTAAATGTACAAAGTTCGGTACACAAATTAATAAAATGCCCCCGAAGCCGTATGTGGAAATTGAATCATCATACAACCTCGTTAGGCTTTTCAAAATCAACTAGATAAGTAGAATGCTGCTGGGACTATATGCTATGCTTATTCTATACAAGTAAATTGTTCAATAGATACGAAACGATCCTCTCCTTATTTTGCTGAATAGGGAAGCAAGGATGGTCTATAGATTCCTGACGGTGGGTAGTCAATACAATGAAGAACTGCAATAGGAGAAAACAGGGTTGATAAGTGAGATTAATAACCCTCACCACATCCTCGGCATGGTCTCAGACTCGCTTGTTCTTGGGCAGAAAAGAAAAAACCCTCTCCCAGGCAAACTATGCGCTGTACATAGAAGGCTCCAAAACCGAAAAAGGAGTAGGAGCGAGAGTTTTCAGCTAGAAGCCAAGAGTTAACCTATTAATAAACCTAGGCCGTCTGGTCACGATCTTCCAAGCAGAAATGATTGCTATAGAATTGTTAGCGAGAGAGTAGATTCATTTTCTCCCCGCTAACAAGACTAAAGATCTTTTCGGATAGCCAGGCAGCTCTTAAGGCCCTTAGCTCCAACCGAGTTAATGCAAAGCTGGTTTGGAATTGAATAAATACCTTTGAGTATCTTGGTGCCCAGAACAATGTTACTTTGGTCTGGGTTCGAAAACACAGAGGTGTGGAGAGCAACGAAAAATCTAGCGCGCTCGCTAAAAGAGGAACCGAACCTGAGTTCATAGTACCAAAACCATTGCTAAGAGCACATTCTATGAACCTGCTCCACTTTGGAAAGAACTTGGTTACAAATATTCGAATTCGCCCGACTGGGGTCTATTGACTTTAAACAAGTCTCGCCCTATTCAACCATGGCCTTCATCAAACAGTGTAGCTTGTACGGTGTACTATAAGTGAGCCACGATATATTCTTCTGGATGATAGTGGAGATGAGATCATCTCACTCATTTTCGACCTAATACGATGATCAATATCAAGAAAGATCAGTAAGAAAAAGGGAAACAATTATATCATTACCTGGATCAATCAATGGGAAATAAAAAATATATGTAAGTGGATTTTACCCATAAAAATAGCAGACCCTATCTCTAAATATTAAAAACTGAATCTCGTGAGGTGAAATCAAAGTATCTTGGTTCGAAACCAAATTAAACAAAAAAGAACTGGGTTAGGAAAAAATATAAACTGCACTACTGGCTCCCCGGCACACACTCCAAACTGCCAGTACAGAATAAAATATTATTATTACAACCAGATCCTGAATCCATTATTAATAATATTGCAATCATGTTTTGAATCTGGTGTGGCTTTAATGCATCCAATTCCTTACAATAATCTTCCAGAACAAAGTAGTGTGCAACACAGTGAACGCTCGTTGGTATGTGCGCAATACAGAACAACCCATGGGAGGAACGTCGATGTAATTATAGTTCCTTTTGAAGAACAAGGACGTCTACAGAAATGTAATAAAAATATAAAAGAAATTTTGTTTGGTGGCCGAAGCCGATTCGATTAAAAAAATATTAATATCTTATTTTGAGACTTACTTAGGACATTTTGTTTACTCCAGAAATTGAATTTTTACTTGAACCTTTTAAAAATCCTAATTTTCACGGAAAACACTAGCTATCTCTCTTACTTTCTGAAGAATTGTCAGATTCTAGATAAATTAGGATAGTGGTAACAATTATGCTATCAAGCTTTCACATTTTTTCTCCATCCCTATTATATGATTAATACGTTTTTGTCAATTATTGCTTGTTACGTCAGATATTGACTTATTGAATAGATTTTTAACATCTGGTAATTTATTAGAAGTCGTGTTATTTCGAACAACGTAACCTCAAGCAAGCAGCTCTAAAGGCAATTCTCTCTGCTCAGAAAACTTGACAAAGCTAAGTAGTCAAAATAAAGTGATCTTAAAACATCCATCAAACTTGCAAAAACAGTCTCAGGAATGGTGGAACAACTATCCAGGATTGAGATAGGCCAAGTTAACAGTAGGTCTTTTTACCTAAGAAGTCACATGAGTGTCTTCAATTCAGCAGAAGAAGCAACAGTGTGCAGGTTCTGTGAAGAATAAGAGGAAACATCAATCCTGTGCCAGGTAGGCCTGGCTAGATTGAGGTTTCTAACTAGATAAAGAAAGGCCAAAAGCATGTAGCTACATGTAGAAGCCACTGTCAGAGCTAAAAAAGACCAATCTAGACGACATATTCTAAATAACGGAGTCTTACAATATAAAAAGGTCGCAGACGGAGAACAAGGACAAATAAGGTGTAACTCCTTTCAAATCTAATCAATCAATTTTAGAGAGACATATTAAAGAAAATATGCCCTTTTGTAGGTAACCCCCGATTCATAGCACTCTTCAAATAATAGAAAGGTATGAAAAACAGGACTGAAAGCAATTTCAGGACGAAATCCGAAAAGTATTCACAACTAATTTAGTCAAAATAATTAGGTCTACGAATATGTGTGATATTTCATATTTTAATAACTGTTTTTCTACAAACTATCAATCAAATATTAATTTACATAGGAGTCTCCCCCATTAAAAAGCCATTAATCACCATTAAAATTATTAATTTCTATACATTATCTAAGGTCACGCCTGTGAGGGAAATCTGACTAGGCCCAATAGATGAATACAATGTAAAATGAATGATTAAATCAAACTTTACTGCATGTACTCTATGATTTGCTTATACATTTTTATTGCATTTCTGGGTATGTGCGTTCTTCAAACGAACTATAATTTAAGAATATTAGAACAAAATTTAATAAAAAAACTAATGACGTATGGTTAACTTACTATTACTCCGATATTTTTAAGAAAAATAACACAGACTAATAGGAAAAAAAAAAGGAAAAGCCAAACTATCATGCTTAATCTAGTTGACCAGACTCACCGTCTATTGTATCCGTGATTTCAGGAGGAGGGATTGGAGGTGTTTCGTTGTCTGGTAGATCATGCAGCTGATGTCCCAGCAATTTCACATCGTCTTGGTGTACGCTAACACTTCCACCCTATTAGCAAAAGAACGTGCACAAGTTAGTATTTAAAGGTTTGGGATAACCCTGTCGAGTGCTCTACCGCAGGGGATTTATTTTTAAACTAAGGAAATACTCATTTTTCCTAAAAAGATGGTATGACAAAAAAGCGCATGAAAAAATAGCGCAGGACATAAAGCACGTGTCAAAATATTCCAGTATTCTAATTAAAATTAAAAAAAAAATGGGCAGGTTGCTTGAAAAAAAATTACACAAAATTTTAACTAATTTACCTAACCTGTGCGGCCTGGAGCCATATACAGCAACTAGCCATGGCTTCAGGCCGCACAGGTTAGGTAAACTAGATTTTTTTTTATTAGAATACTGGCATATTTTATCACGCGTTAATTTGTTTCTCTTTTTTGAAAAAGTGCTAACTTGACTCACTATAATTAGACTAGGCGTTAATTGGTCTCACTTTATTTGTATCGGGCGTTAACTTGTCTCTCATGTATTTGTCTAGGTGCAAATTTGTCCCGCGCGAAAATGAGACGGATTCTAAAATGTAAGAGAGACAGAGCTAACATTCTCTTCATAGGCGTCGTCGGAATAGAATTTGTTATACGTATTATTTTTTAAAAAACATCTTGTTCGTTACGCGCTATTTTGTTCTTGCGTCATTTTGTCCTGCGCTATTTTGTCTTTGCGCTATTTTATCCTGCTCCATTTTGTCCTGCGCTGTTTTGTCATGGAGCCCGGTTTATTTCGAAATAATTAAAATTCTCAGAAAATATTGACCATGTGACCAGGGGAAACAACTCAATTAGTCTTTTAATAAACTGTAAGGTATTTGAATACACAGGTTAAAGCAGAATACGTAATATATTAATATTATTATTATATTCTTCACACAATAATCTCTGAACAGTATTATAGGTTTACTTTCATGAAAGCAAAATTTTTAATATTGGTCCAAATTTAAAAATGTTTGTACCAAATTTTATATCAAATTTTAACCATGTCCGTCCGTCCGATGTCACGTTTTTTTCCGCACGTCAAAAAATAAAAACAATAGCTTGAAAATTTCAGGAAAAATCAAGCCCTATAAGAGGACGAAGCTTATTGATTTTTAAATAAATCCGAATAAAAATGGGACGTTAAGGGGGGTATAAAAAAACAACTCAAAAACGAAAAATTATATCAACTTGATATTTTTAGCAAAAATCAAGCTCTATAAGGGGACAAAGCCGAGTGATTTTGAAAAAATCTGAATAAAAATGGGGGGTTAAAGGGGATTGAAGTTAAAAAAAAAAAAAAAATCGAAAAGGGATATCAACATGAGTTTAGCAAAAATCAAGCTCTATAAGATGAAGCATATTGATTCTGAAAAAATCTGAATAAAAATGGGGATTAAGGGGGATTGAAGTTAAAAAAAAAAAAACAAATCAAAAACGAAAAGCGATATCAACATGAAACCAAGCTCTATAAGGAAAAGAAGCCCTTTGATTAAAAAAAAAAAAATGATTAAGGGGGGTTGAAATATTTAAAAAAAAATCATAACTCAAAAACGATAAATATCAACTTGCAATTTTTTTAGCAAAAATCAAGCTCTATAAGGGGACAAAGCCTATCAGTAACAAAAAAAAAAAAAAAAATTAATGCTTAAAGCAATTAAATCCAGAAATAATTCTAAAATAAATTTAAAAAATTGGGTTTGAAACTAAATACAAGAATAACTCCAAAATTAAAGACAAAAATAAATGTAAATACAAATGTAAATCCAAAAATTGTTTGTGTTAAATCTACAAATATACCACTTTAAAAATTAAAATGTAATCATTATAAATTGTGAAAAATATGCCTGTATCTTTTTGAAAATTTTGACATTTTGGGAGTCATCATTTCGAAAATTCTGTTACTCAGAAAATGTTGTCTCGTTCTCGATTTAAAATTGAAATCGGATACTCCTTTGTCTTTTCAAAATATTCCCCCATATATTTGTAATCAGCATTTATGTGATTAATAAAAATTAGGAGGCATAAATACCAGGTGGCCCAATAAGAATCGCTTTCGATTATATCTCAGGAACCGTTTATTCCCCGACGGGCGATACAGTAATAGTATATTATTCAACGGGCGGGTAATGAGGGCTATTACTCACGAGGATTAGGCTTGCACTAGGAGCCGCAGGCGAGTAGTGTAATCATCCGACTGAGTAATAGCTATTACACGCGAGTAGAATGCTATACTTTTTCTATAATTATTAAATTAAATAATGGAAAGAGTTATGTAAAATTTTATTTCATTTATTTGTTCCAAAATTAATAGTGAAATTAGAACAGTTTTGAAAATTAACACAAGCTTCTGAATCCAAATCAACAGTAGTAGTTATATTTTAACTACTCAACTTGTTTTCTGTGTAGGTTGTGGTCGAATTTTGTTGAAAACTCACTGTACGAGTAATCAAGTGGTTACATTAATCGATAGAAAGTGGATGTATAATTCTTATATTGTTAAATAATCATCGAACAAAATAGTTTTTTTCTTTTAAAAATTCACATCTAGTTAGTAAAACAATAGCTATTTATTATTAAAAGGGTCGTGCATAAAATGTTGTATGTATTTAGGGCGTAAACAGCGTTTACGTGTTATTACTTACACGTTGCGGTCCATAAACGCCTGTTTTGCGCTCTTGATATATAAATAAACATTACGTTCTTTGTTAGGGTGTTAAAGTTAAAATTTTTCATTTTTTTTACAATATTTTCGTTATTATTTAACGAATTGACTTGAAATTTGATATGGTTATAGTTTTCTACTAGTAAATCTTTGCATGTTTTCAATTTTGAGATTATTCTTGGCATTTTTAAAATTTTTTAAAGTCTTTATAAGGTACACTCTGTAAATTTGAACAAAGAACGTATACTTGTTTCAATAGCATAAATTCAACCCCTTTTGAAAATTTCAACAACAGCTGTCAAATAAAGAATTATAACTTGGTAACTTTTGTATAAAATGCGCATTTTATTGTTTAGTAGTCGGTTACGCCATCTAGCGGTCGTCCTACGATTCTCTAAATAATTTCTAGGTTTCTCCAGTTCCAGTAGATGAGCTCTCTACTTCAAAATCCGCCTGTAGGTGGCGTCTCCTAACAGTGACTAAGTGCACATTTAACTTTGGTCTTCTACGAATTTGCCTTGATCTCTATATACAGGGTGTTTCCGAACTTGGCGTCCAAATTTGTAGGGGTGGTAGTTCGCATAATTTGAGACCGATTCGCAGATTTCATTTTTGCAAAATATTTAAAATAAAAATAATTAAAAATTATAAAAAGGCGGTCCTGCACAGCGAGGGGATCCCCTCCACTCGCTCGCGCTACGCTTAGAATCGACAAAATTGCAAATCGCATCTGTTTTTGAGGACTATTGCGCTACGCGCTCAGGGTAGGACCTGCTCTTTGATTTTTTTATAATAGCTCTGTTTTGTTCATTATAATTTTTTTAGAAAAATGAAATCTGCCAATCGCTCTCAAATTATGCGAACTACCACCCCTACAAATTTGGACGCCAAGTTCGGAAACACCCTGTATATAACAATCGAATCTGGGAATCACCAAAAGTGGAAGACATCTGTTTTCAGTTTTTAACTTGAAGAGTAATCAATTCTTTAAACCTATATATTTTGCAAAATATAGAAATTATACATTTTAGTAAGAGTCGTGACGTCAAAGAAAACAGCTGCAGAAACAGCTGAATTAGTATCACTGTATGAGTTGACATATGACGTATTTGACGCAAATTATATGGTCCATTGGTTAGGTGAGGAATTAGTACCAATGTTTGAGTTGACAGGGCTAATAACAAGACAGCTGGCCTTCAATGACAAAATGGGGAATTGGGAACATGGAGGAATTGGTACCACTGTATGAACTGATAAATAACGTACTTAACAGTAGTACAAAACATATTAGTATCGCCAAAAGGACATTAACGTCCAAATTCGTTAGTATATATAGTATTCGTACGGCGTTAACGATATTCAATGCGAAAAGTCATATAGAAGTAATAAATAACGACAAAAAGATGAGCAGTAGCATTGTCAAGAGGACATTAACGTTTAACCTCGATAGTATTGGTTAGATCTTGACTGTTTTAAAGGTTAATATTACGTGATACACTAATAATGATTGTGTCATTCGTTGTGCCTTATTGACACTTATTTGAATTTATGACTCTCATAATTTTTAAATATGTAATGTTGATACGACCATCTCATTGGATATGACATGCTAGTAATGAATATATCATTCAAACGTTATTTTAATATAGGGGTTTTCTAATATTCATCGATGCCATCTAGATTTCATCAAAACTGTTCTTTTATCCATCAAATTTTTTTTAGATGAGTCATACATCATATTCTTAAATTCAACCTAATCCTCAGATGATTATCACCAAATCCATCAACTCGATTATGTTGATGCACTGATGGATCACGTGACATAACCTTAAATGATTAATTAATATTTAACAGATAAGGAAATAGGAAAAGTTTGCTTAACATTCCTAATAATATGAATGAAGAAACTCACTGGGTTTTTTTTTTAAATCAACCTATAAATGGGCTAACTTTTAAAATAAGATTGTTAGCGTTAGATATACAGCAAGCAAATGAAGACAGGTACATATTTTTTCAATTATTGTATTGCCCGTACTTGTCTTTAATTTTTATGCTCATCAAAAAGTCTTCGAATTGTTTCTTTTTAATAAAGACAGTTGAGATTATAAAATCACAAATGTCAGTCGTTCTCAAATAATTTTCATCAGATAAAAATCATGATTGCAGCAGTCGGCCATTTATTGGTCACGTGATCCATCATCAGTACATCATTTTGTTGAATATTAGCCTTTTTCCCGGGAAGATTTAAAAAAGATCCACTAGAGGCAGCACCGGTGGGGGGTACATGTTTCGAATTCTCTATTGACAACAACGTCAAATGTACGTTTTATTATTATTATTATTACAATAAATAAATA